TTTCTTTCTTTCTTTCTTTCTTTCTTTCTTTCTTTCTTTCTTTCTTTCTTTCTTTCTTTCTTTCTTTCTCTTTCCTTCTTTTTTCTGAGTGTTTATTTATTTATTTATTTATTTATTTATTTATTTTTTGCTATAGGGCATGTGAAGTCGCAGGAGAGACAGAGATGGAGAAACAGAAAGCGAGAAATCACCCCCGGGCGGCATGGTCACACTGCAGTCCTTTCTCCATTCTTCTCCTGGGCTCTTGGGCATGCACGTGCACGCACACACATGCATACACACATGCACACACATGCACACACAGGCAGACGAAACACACCTGTGGGCTGGACTCTGCTCATGGACTTCACCCTGCACATGACACCCCACTGTGCAAGGATTTGTCACACCTGCTGCTGGTGCAAGTTTTCAGGCAGAGCAGAGAGGGAGGACAGGAATGCGGAGGCTTCGTGCAGAGCCAGGGGGACAGGGAGTGCAGAGGGACAAGTGGAGCCCCAGGTCTGAGGGCTGCCCTTTCCTGCCGTGGCCTCTCGGCTGGGACAAGGGTGTGTACCCATGCCTGGCTCTTTTCAGACAGGGTCTCGCTACGTGGCCCAGGACAGCTTTGGCCTCACCAGCCTCCTGTCTTGGTCACCCCAGTCACCCAGGACCAAGGCACAAACTGCCTGGTGTGTAGGTGAGATGAGGACCAGGAGCCGAACCCTGGGTTCCCACGTGAGCCCGGCCCGCAGAACACGGGGTCCCAGCGCACACATGGTGGGCCACGTGAGAACTCCCTGAGTCATTCTTATCCTTTGGAATCCGTAAGAGGAGGTAAAAGAAGCACTCGGGAGGGGTGTTGGATATTCTTGAAACAGAAACAAACATGCCACTTATTTACATAAAACACATGACAGCTACTTAAACGTAATTCCTTTTTTTTTTTTTTGGAGAGGTTTTTGCTATAGGGTGCATGCACTCGCCAGAAAAACAGAGAGAGACAGAAAGCGAGAAATCACCCCCCGGGGGGATGGCCACGCCACAGTCCCTTCTCCTCCATCCTCCTCTTGGGATCTTGGGCATGCACGCACATGTGCCCGATGTGAGTTTAAGCCACCGGGTCCAGGACTCCAACCGCAGTCAACTACATGGGAGTCCAGTGACATAGCCATTACGACAACTGCTGGTCCTTAAGTAATTCTTCTCTAGCCATTGATTAGACAGATCTCTAAGACTTTCCTGCCAAGCAACATTCCCTAGTCTTTCTTGTTACAGTATCTTTTGCTTTTTGAGAGACTTTTGTTATAAGATACATGTGCTTGCCAGAGAGACAGAGAGACAGGAAGCAAGGAATCGCTCCCAGGGGGGATATCCGGCCATGCCGCAATCCCTTCTCCTCCATTCTCCTCCCAGGATCTTGGGCACGCATGCACACACACCCAGCGTGAGTTTTAAGCCACTGGGTCTGGGTCTTGAACCACGGTTGACAATGTGGGAGTCCAGGGACATAACCACTGTGCAATCTGCTGGTTCCCATTACAGTATCTTTAAGAATATGACTAACGCACGCTTCAGCTTGTTCGCATGGACTTCCCACCCAGCTCTGAGTGTGGATCTTGTGTTGCCCTGAACCTGCTCCAAACCCCGGTGGACCGCCGATGGGCTCGTCCCTCTGCCCTCGAGAACTGGTGGCTGTCCCCTTCTTTGTGGGCGGGGTCACATCTCCTCCTTCCTCCCCCAGGACCCCTTCTGCCTCCTCAGGACAGGAGAGGCAGGCAGGCCCTGCGGAGGGCCCAGCAGGGGTGCACAAGGAGCTGCCGTCCAGTGCTGGGGAGGACCGAGCCCTGCTCCTCGGGTTCGCAATGATGGGCTTCTCAGCCGTCATGTTCTTCCTGCTTGGAACCACCACCCTGAAGCCTCTCCTGCTCAGGTAAGGGACATGTCAGCGCCTGGCTCACGGTGAAGGACCAGCTGGCTTCGCTTCCCCAGTCCTGGCCCCCTTGGCGGCAGTCCAGGACAGGGAGCACTCAGGGCCGAGAGGCAGCAGGGCGGGCGGAAGACGTGGTAGGAAAGTGGAAGGGATTCCCTCCGCCCGTCCCAGCCCGCATTGCTCCCCAGTGCGCAGTTCATGCACGAGGCGTTGACGGAGGTCACACCTTCTCCCTGAGAGGTCGCCCGGGACCTGCCTGAGCCCCGCGCCAGGCTCTTGCAGAGGGTGGAGGCTGCGAGGAGGCGCTGTCTGATCCCGAGTGGTTCCGACAGCGGGAAAGCCAGGGGCAGCTCTGGACAGCGAAGAGCAAGGCCCGGGATGGGCCCGAGGTCAGGAGCCAGCGGGAAAGGCCGCGGGGGGAAGCGGGCGGCCCAGTGAGAGGGCGGGATCCCCCCCACTCTGGGTCGCCATTACCAGGGGCGCGGGGAGGGCTTCTCCCCGGCTCGGCGGGCACCAGGAGTTTGTCTCCTCCGTGGCTGTGGGCGCTCA